GTTGGCGGGCCACATTTCACACAGACGAGACTCATTTTGCTCAATTTATATAGCAGTTTTCGTATGTCAAGCGGCCTACACACAATTGAGTTTGAAAACAAGTTATTCATCTCTAATGATAAAATTTATGAACGGTAAGTGGCTATTATTGGTGAAGAAATATGAAAAAAAGTTGCCGCAGTGTACGCACAGCGGTGGTCGTTAATGGGTTATCCTGATAACTCAATGTCAATTAGGACTGATTGCCCTTTATAACGATATGGTAACGTTTTCAAACTAAGTCCTTGCGACCACTGGTGCACCTACTCTGGGAATCTCTTCTTTCAACGAAATCACTGCTAACATTGAGTTTACCTCCAATTAAGTATCGTTTTGATGTGCTAGGGAGGTGCTGAGATGTTGCTCTGAGTTCCGCCGCAGGGTCAGTAGTCCGTATGGCCGATCCAGACATAAGCAGGGGCCGGTTTCGTATTTGCGGTTTTTGGAAGGGATCGTTTTCGGGGTTGACGAGGACTAACTGAGTTTGAAGGGGTCGTATTTGTGGAGTTGAGAGGGACCATGGTTATGAGAGAGTGGCTCTTTTGACGATTTTGAGGCAAACTTTCCGAAGGAAACGTAATATGGACGGAATCAGACCTTTGCCGTTTTTCGGATTTATTTATCTCCTACCACGCTCGATCGTTTGATGGCAGTTTTGGAAATTTTGGGGGGAGTTGTCACCTGGTTTTTAAACTAGCCACGAAATCATATTGTACTTCTAATGTTTGAAATATTGTATTTTTTCCTGAAGAAGGTACCTCCTTTAAGGTTCAACGAGCATTTGGGACTAGTAACAGGAGCCTAAAGTTTACGAAAAATTGCGGGTTGTAATAACGGACAGTCCAATGGGTGACATTTGAAGAAGAAGAAGATGACGTACAGAGCTGAACGGAAATATGCCAAAAGATTGTCTGTGCTACTCAGTAGATGTTCGGCGTGTTCATATCTCTTGGTGACTTCTTAGTATATTTTGCTATCTAAGTTGATTGAACACTGGAAAATCTGGTGAGACTACCGTTTCCCGCTGATCTCTCCTCATCGGGTGTGCTAAAGGTAGGGTCATCGAATCGACGAGTTTCAGGTTGTCCACCTTCACAGGTTTAAATTGAAGATTTGCTTAACAGAGTGATTTATGCTAGATCTTTTCTCGCGTCATTACACAAAAGCCTTTCTAGACTTCAAATTCCTTCGTAAGTGAGCGTTTAGGAATCAAATCCTGGGTCGTGAGTCGCCCGGGCCAACCAAGCCTTCCATCCCTCCGGGGTCGGTTAATTGGTACCAGACTTGTCTGGGAGGATAAAAACACTGACTTGTACATCGGCTGGCCCCGCAAGTCATTGTATAGGCCACATCGCATTCAAACGCCACTACGAATGTACAAATGGAAGTAGAATGCGTGCCGCATCCCAAAAAGGGATTGATCAACGGCAAATGCTTTATCCTTTATTTTATCCTTTATCCACAAGTAGTCTCTGAGCACTTCTCACTTGGTTCTTTGTGGGTCATCTGCACTCTATATGTGCTATAGCAGTCCATAATAAAGCGCCTGTATGGTCAAGTTTTATGCTGTGCTGAGTGGCAGCCAAGAATCGCAACCGCATTGGTCTAAACCACTGATGGATTTAAAAAAGAATGCTCGTTGTGAAGTATTCGTAGGGCACTGATTCCGCAAGTTATCTCCAGCGATGCTTTTCTCGTACCATTAGTTACCGTGTGAACCTGTGCGCTTACCTTGTTTTGAAGTGCAATGAATACCAGTTCAGGTAGTTGTTATTATCTCTTTCTCTGAAAGAACTGCGAAGTGTTAGTATTGATGGGAACAGCTACTATAGTGGAAAGCAAACAAACACTGAGTGAAGTTTTTGTTTTCTGATCGGAATCCCCTGATTTCGGAGGTGGATATTGGTGGATTTCTTACGAATATGAGAGGAACGTAATCGAATAATGTGCGGAATAGTTGCTCTGGTGAAGTGTTTTATTGTTCTGTGAGTGCTGGTTGGTCATATGGATGAATAACATATTGGTGTTGCAGGGAATTCGTGTTAAGTTGTTCCGTTTCATTACTCCTTATTTATACAAGAATCGCCAGAATTATGCTAACTCTGAATATGAGAGGAGATTGATATAGGGGGGGGGGTAGCAAGTCAAAAATATCTAAACTTTGCTGAGTGTACGTGTAAATCTGCCGCCTGCGCTACATTTGAAATAAGCCCTGAAAGGACATTTAGGCTGCCTATCCTGTTTGTCATAATTTGGCAGCTCAGTTGAAGCGGGTCACGGTGCAGCTCGCCATTTAAGCGTCATGTTTTTCAACAGCAGCGGACGACGAGCATTTGGAAGGGTAAAAATCGGTAAAACGGGCTATGGTTCACGGTCAAGTACTGAGAAAAAGCGTTATAGAAAACACGTATCTTGCAGCTGCTTAACCCTTTGACGACAATGCGATTTGCACGTAGCTTGCTCATGGGACCACGCCTCTTTTTGGCGCGCCCAACTCTCGCTCACAATTGGGCAAAATTGTCCCTCAAAGCAGTTTTTCTATAAATTTTTGACTTTAACATATACCAGGTATAACTGCAGCTCTAGGCTTTTGTTTCTTGTTTTTGATAGAATTCCAAATTTGGAGGGTAACTCGGACTAAGAGAAGGGGGCAAAACCTCTAAAAGTTTGAGTGTCCAAGAGAATTTTCGGATTAGTAATTAATCTTCTGTCTAATAATGCGAATTAATATGCTGGCGAGCTAAATGGCACATTCTAAAATTCTATATAAATTAGCTCTTAATAAACATTTCTGTAAGCCGTGCTAGTCATAGATATTATGGAACTTGCTTATAATTATTGGGGTGTTACAAATGTTTTAAATGCACAAAGAAGGAAATTTTAAGGTGGCACCCACCATTGGGTGCCATTGTCCCACGCGGCGAACATAGTGGCACCCACCGGTGGGTGCCATTGTCGTCAAAGGGTTAACACATTGACGACGACGCGTAATACATATGTCCCACATATTTGCTCGAAGGAGGCTCGTTTTAGCGAATTTCTGCCTCCATTCTCACTTTCCAGAGTGCTCCATATGCATTATCGGCTGCAGAAAATAGTACACTTTTACCAAGAATGAAATATTGATGAAACTATCACTATTGATGAAAAATTATGAAAAAAGGAATTAAACGGCGATCGTCAATGTATTAAGCAGAAAATGTCCCTTAACAATGTTAGGACACCTAGCGGCAGAATTGACAGAAGTGTAGTCGATGCGTAAATGTAGGATTTCTTGCGAATGTTTCGTAGAGATGCTGGAGATCATCGAGCTCTAATATTTCATCCAGTCTGGTCATGCTCGAGGGCAGATCAAAGGCTGCAGCAGTGTTTCAGCAGTGTGAGCCCTTCCAAACTTGTACGTAAGACTTATTGTAGTTGAGCTCTGAGCTCAAGCTAACTTCAGACTTCTTGTAAACGCTTCCAAAACTTCTTACTTGGTATGTAAGTAAGAGAGACTTTCACGAAATTTGTTTTGATCGACGTTTTTTCAGTTGCATAGGAGACAACGCGCCATTCATCGCTTGGTTGAACAGCTATCCACTGGAAAGGTATTTATCTTCTATCACTAACGTGAAGTAACGCGGCTTTCACCATAGTCATATTATTATATAATTTACTTTTTTCGTAATTTAAAGTTGTTTAATCCTTCAGGTAGTCATTGGATTTGACGTCCTAAACAAGTACTTGATTCCTATGGTCTTGCCATATCTCGCTAATACGGAGAGCAAACTTTCTGGTGGGACATCGATATCA